ATGCCAGACTGGACATCAGTGGGTCTACGCCCCTACAGCTCATGACTCACCTGGAAGGAAGGGTGGAAGCGAGGCCACATACACACTCTTGCTACTGAGGCTTGTAAAACAGGACTATCTCCAGAGGGTGCTGCATGGTGATACGTTGCCATAGCTCTCTGGGCACCAGACACTGATCCCTGCCTCCCCTCACCTTTTCTCCAGTAGAATAGATGTTCCTGGGTGGAGATGGGCCTGGGAGCAGTAAAATCTGGCTCCTCAGTGGGACATGGGCAGGGCCAGCAGCTCAGCACTCAGTGTCCCCACCATGCCTTCTGCCTAGGTGTCTCCACACCTGCTGCTGGGTTCCCCAATACTGTAGATTATATATAACAAGTTAAAAACTCCAAGATATGAAATGAGATTTGGCTATGGAGACTTTTCAGGGCAGGGTGACAAAATGAAGCCAAATCAGAACTTTTAATATAAACATTATATAAACTATAATATAAATATAATGAAAAAAAATTTAAAAAAGCAGTTACCCAAGAATGGAAGGGGTTCTAATATTTGAATGGCTAATTTAGCAATCACAAAAGGTAGAACCAAGTGAATTAAAAAATGTTTCCATTGTCCTGACCCTAAACCGGTTCCCTCTAAGTGGTGGAGGAGGAAAGGAAAAATGGTTTAACATGTAAATTAGGACCCTCTAACTCAGGAACAGAAGAGAAATAATGTAATGGTTGGGTCTCCAACCTGAGTCACACAACTGACAGATCCGTGCTAAACTGAACCCCTGCCCTGCTAGCTGAGCAATGGACATGCGCACAATTCACACATATTTCCTTATTACTTCCTTAATTGCGATGTTGTCAGGATGCCTCTCTAGTCTACCCTGTTGACACCTGTGGCAATCACTGCATTCTCTGAAGTTTCTTAATTTACGTCAGTGCTCTCTCTAACTATTGAATCGAGGTGGAATTGATGCAAGCTCATTCCTTATTCAAAGGGAGAGTGAAAATTTTCTCAATTATAAAGTTGAAAGGAATGATCTGATAGGAGGAATAAATTTGTAAAACTGTCAACTTACTCTAAAGAGTTAATGTACCTTCAAACAGGAGAGTTTTCTGGATTTCCCTTGAAGTGCCACAGTCAGATGGGATGGCTCTCACCTCCATGTGACCTGCAGTAAGTAGAGGGAGGGACGAGTCAGGTGGTCCTGGGAGGCTGCACAGGCTGGAAGCAGGGTACACATCCTGACCTTTTCTCTCCCCAGAACTGCCCATTGTCCAAAGAGGACGTGTCCTGCCTGAAGCGGGGAGAATTTTCCCTCTCTAAGATATGAAAATTAAAGAAATGGGTTCCTTCCAGAATTTGGGTCAGTTGTTTCCAGGAAAGTGCCGCTTTTTAGCTCTGAAGAAACAGGTGCTGGAAGGAGACAGACTTATACAGAGAACAAACTTGGCCACTGTCTCTGGTCTTGGCAGGTAGGTGGCTCTCTCACAGTGTGAAGTTACCCTTGATACCCACAAAAGCCAAAGAGATCAGGGAACTCAAGGCAAGGGAGAGCAGAGCTCCAGACATGAGAAGAACCTACCCATGACTCTTGGGGCTTCATGAGAAAGACAGGAGACTCTGTGTAATGGGGCGTCTGTGGCAACAGTTTTGTTTTTTCATTCTTCGAGGAATAGCGGGCTTTCTAGAAGTCTTCTCTACATCCCTATATGTGGTTGACAGATCTCTGACATTTTTGCTTAGTAGTTTTCCATCCACTGACCACCAAATGCAGAGGCAGGGGCTTGTCGATGATAAGAGAGACCTAGATGGAAGATTGAAAGTGGCAGAAGGAAGGAGGGGCAGAAGTAAATGGAAGAACAAGTCTTAGAGGGGCCAGACTGGGGAGGTCTTAAGCTTCTACAAAAGGCCAATGAAGTTATACATTTTTTTTTCCAGCAAAAATCCTGCCTACAAGAAAGGAAGCAAACAGAGGATTCAAATATATAATTTAAAAAGGCTTGAGTTTACAGGAAAAAAGTTTACATGGGATATACAAGATCACAAGGAGAAAATCAGAAAGACCTTTAAAAAATGGTAGCCTTGATATCAGCTTTAAATTAAGCTAATAATTGAATACAGAGGTCTTAAAATTACTTTAAACTCACTTATCGGATTCCAGCAAGAACAAACAATCAATATTTCTAATGTTTGAAACTTTCTTTTTTTTTCTCTTTTCTTTTAAAACAAAGACACCTAAGAAGTGCCTCAGAACAAAAACCAAGCCTTTTATGACTTCACCAAGGATGCATGAGACATCTTCAAAGAAATGCCAAGATGCAGTCCTCTCAAAATTCAGAGCCACCTCTAAAGATAGCCACAAGAAAGAAAAATTTAGACGTCTTGAGAGGTAGCAATAGTCAATATGTAAGCTTCCAATGGGAGCCTCCAACTTTTGGATTGGCCCGCTGCACAGACTGAAGAGTGTCCTGACAGGCAGCAAGCCAAGTCAGGTTCTCAGGACACAAAACAACAAAACGACAGCTGTCTTTTGAAGGGATAGGATCAATAACAAATGGGTCCCATAAGTCCAAATTTACACAAGAGAACAATTCCAACAAATGATCTCCTGATGACCTGCATTTGGAAAGGAAGAAATAAAGAGAAATTTTGACCTTTAGTTCTTGACCAGACACTACAAGCAGAAATTCAGAACTGACCTTGGTAAAAATTCTTACCTTTATTAGCAAGTTCTTTATCAGTCTTTTACCAGGACCTCATCAGTACGTGAGTCAGGTGCTTCAGGCATCCCATCTTCATCACCAAAACTATAGGGGCAGAAATAGTGTGATCTCTTTCCTTCCTATCAAAAGGGTCACAGCTGACATGCCTATAACAAAAGACAGGTTAACAAGAGAGAAGCATAACACATGTATTGAATCATAGATTTGTATAACTATGGAAGCCTTCAAAATGAAGACCCAAAGTACAGGAAAAAACTATCCCTTTTTGTGCTTATGTTCCATGAAGAATGGACAGCCAAGTAGAAATGTGATTAGATAAAAAGGGCATCATCTAATGCTAATATTCTGAGTAGGGGAACCCAGCAAGGCCCTTCTGGTCAGATACTTCTTGGTCTCTCCATGCACCATTCTTTCCTCTTGGGTATGTGGCCGAGCTCTTTTTGGAAGGGGGGGTCTTAATATCTACAATCAAACAAGGTAAGTTAGAGAATTTCTTTATGGCCCGTTCAGTTCTTACACACAAAGGTGAGGGAAAGTTAGAGTCATATTTTCAAATTTTATGGCTGGCTTTGGGGAAAAGGGGCTCCGTCAGGAGATGAGGGGTGACAAACAGCAGGGCAGGAGAAGGCCAGAGAGAAACTTTGCTTCTGAGGCTGCTTCTGAGACCTTCACTTTGGGGTATTATTTCTGAGCCTCAGTAGGAGTGAAAATGAGATCCAGAAAAGCTAGAGAAGAAGTAAGGAACTGTGCTGGGTATCGGAATCAGCAAGTGAATGATATGTATATTTCACTTAGGTTTAAGAAAATAAACTCTTCCAGATTTTCCTGTAAGATACTGTATCCTGACTGAATATACAAATCAGACTTATCTTCAGTATGAAGGGTGACTATTCTCCAGTTTTCTCCTGAATACTCCAAGAATTCTGCTCTTTAGATTATTATGTGTTATGGAGATTAAGGAGAGAGCATTCCCTTTTCCATTTTCTCTTTTTCTTTTTCTATTTCTTTTTTTTCTTTTTGAGACGGAGTCTTGGTCTGTCACCCAGGGGCTGTAGTGCAGAGGCGCCATCTCTATCGCCAGGGTTCAAGTGATTCTCCACCTCAGCCTCCCGAATAGATGGGATTACAGGCACCCAACACCATGCCTGGCCAAATTTTGTATTTTTAGTAGAGACAGAGTTTCACCATATTGTCCAGGCTGGTCTTGAACTCCTGAACTCAAGTGATCCACCCCCCTCGGCTCCCAAAGTGCTGAGATTACAAACATGAGCCACTGCACCCAGTCCCTTTTCTGATATATATGTAGTAATTAAGAAAATAATAACCGTATATTTATAAAATAAGAAAAGCACATGTATACATATATGTTTTATGTATACACACTATATATATAGAGTGTGTGTGTGTGTGTGTGTGTGTGTGTATATATTCTAGAGGCTGGTCTGCCTGAGATTTGGGCAGGGTCACAGATCCAGACCATATTAATCACCATTCTCTCGTTTTGTCAATCCCTCTGCTTCCTCTGTGGCTTTTCTCTTCCCTCCCTTTAAAGGTAGAAGGTCCTCAGAATCATGCTTAAGTCTTTTTCTCCCTCTACACTCTCTCCACACATGAGCACTTCCATTTCTGGGATTTTGCTTGCCACATATGAAACCACAGCAATTGCATTCCTTATAATTTGAAAACTCATGTATCCAACTGGCAACAGACGGTTTCTACCACATGTTATACCAGTCAACTTACAGAGGATATCTCTATTTTTATTTCCTGACATGTTTCAGTTTACATGCTGCCAAAAGAAATCGTCGTTTGTTCTTTTTTCTCCTTAGAGTACTTAGCATAACTGATATTAAATATTACTATTTTTAGTTTGATTCCCTACAAAAATCAAATATGCAAGAGAGTAGAAAATAGATTTATTGTATTTACCTTTACATATTGAGTACAACATGCAACCTGGTTTAGAGAAAGGTCATTTTTACTTACATCTCTCATATAATAATGATGAGTAAATAAATTTTACCCTTTATTCTCTAATCAGGTTGCACAGTCAGGATAAGAATTTCATGTTAAAGGATGAACACATACAAGAAGTTCCTATAGTAAAAGTTTAATGAACAACATAAAATAATGAATTGAGTAGATACAAGGAAAATGTTTTATTACACTAGCCACAGTGTAAACGTGCACCTGACGTTATACGAACAAAAATAATTTAAATCTTATAAATAGTTAAATAAATATTTAAATAGATAAATCAATTTATCAGCATGATCATAGTTATAGCAGGAGTGAGAGTCTTTGAAATGGCAGAATTCATGAAAGCATGAGCTGGTGTATGAGTCAATAAGAATTGTTTTCATGTTGGACCAGGTGTTATTCCTTCCTCCTTAATCTTTCCTGCAAGTTTGTTGATAGAGAGAAGGATCTCATGATTTCTGCTCTGACAACCTCCCAGGCACAAGGGCTGTATTTCTTCTCTGTCAGATAGAGAGTGATTCTTCGGAAGTATTTCTTCACAGCCAAGGTGGAGTCCGCATTCATCAGGGGAGTTTCTCCCACCCTCTCCTGCTGCATCACACAGGCTTCCAAGTCATTCAGCTGCTGGTAGAGTTCAGTGCAG